GGGGGGGGGTGAGGGGATACCCAGCTCGAGTCTGAATTTACCTGCCGCGATTTTTTTCTTTATTGCTATCTCACCGAAAGGTTGGCGGCTTTTAGCGATTTGGGTCCGTAGCGGGTGAATTTGAATTTTGGCAACTTATTTTGGGCCCGCTGGTTACTTTTCTGTAGAGCTTAACGTAGACCAAGCGATAGTGAGTGCGTGGTTTGCTTCTTTAGACGCGCCCTGGAGCATCCAGGAGGCGTGTGGGTGCAGGTGCACTGTAGTGATGTCATCCCAAGCCAACCCCAGCCCAGAGAAAAATTAGATAACAGAGTAACATTAGAATTTAAAATGACTTGTTTATTTAAGCAGCTCATTGTATTGTTGCTAGAAAACTGCCCACAGTAACCTCAATAAAACAGAAATCTTTTTTTGTATTTTTAGAGACGGGGCCGCGACGCGACAGCCACTGTGACATTTGGCTTAAAAGAATAAAAACAAAAGCACATCTTGTAAACTCAACACAGTACTTTATTCAACCTCACATTATCAAGATGTTGAACACAGAAGGCAATATGAGCGGAAGTCAATTAGAAACAGGAGGTACGTGAATCCAACGCCATTGTGAGGGGCTAATAATGTGGTCCTGGGGAGAGGGGCATCGTCCGATGTCATGACCGAACAAACCGAGTCCGCACAAACCCTTATTTCCTGAGCCGTATTCCAAGAACCGTATTTTGTCCAGGGCCCAGAGCTCCGTGCGAACCACCCTCAGCAGCTCCGGGTGGCAGCGGCGTGCACAAGGGACGCACTGGCCACCACGGTCATCGTACCCGTCGCACTGACTACAGTCATCGTCACCGTCACACTCATCACAAAAAATGTCATCATCGCTGTCATCGCACAGGCCACGGCCATCGACCCCCCCACACAAGCGGGGGTTTTGCAGCTGCAGGTGGACCATGGGGTTCCGGGCGAGGAACCCCATGGCGTCGCTGTGCAGCCACGCGTGGGCGCAGTCCTTGTAGGCCCAGTGCACCTCCAGCCTCCGCAGGGTCGGCGCGGTCACGGGGGAGATGCCCTGCAACAGCTCGCTGTCCACGGGCTCGTCGCACACGGTCAGCTCGCGCAGGGCGGCCAGCCGGGGCAGCGCGAGCAGCAGCGGCCGCGACGAGGGCAGGTCGTCGATGAGGGACAGCGACTCCAGGCGGGACCGCCCGGACGAAGCCAGGGCCTCGACGGCCTGTGCGCCGACGCTTTTGCGGTCGACATCTGTTGTTGCTGTGACATCGACCAGAGACAACCTGCGCAGCTGATTGGCTCGTTGCAGCAACGACACGACCTGCTCGTGGGAGTCGTCGTCGTACACCAAAAGGGTCAAGTCCGTGAGAACCTCGGATGCCACTAGGTCCTCCAGCCCGGGCAGCGCGGCGCACCTCAGCCTCCGGAGGCGGGGCAAGCTGACCAAGAGGCGAACGGTGGTGGTGCATGATGACATGCCGCGCACGAAGCCGGCCCAGTGCCTGAAGTAGAGCACGCCAATGTCGACGTCCTCCAGAGTGGCGGCGTGCCCGCCCAGCACGGCATTCACGAGCCACTCCGAGCTGCCCAATAGCTCGCACCTAAACTTCTTCAGGGATGACGACTGAGACTTGCAAACAAAGGGGTGCAATGAGATAGGCCAGCCGTTGGCGAACTCGAGACTCTCCAGGCTGGAGGACTGCACCAGGGTCCGCAGCAACACGTCGACGGCTTCATTCACAATTTCAACGTACGGGGGTTCAACGTACTCCACCACCACGGTCCTGAGGCGCCCGAGCGCCTCCTGGTTCCGCACCACCTGGGTGAACAGTGAGATGTCCGCGCCCAGCCCGTAACATTTGAGGATCAGGCGGTCAGCAGGGCAGGTGGTCGTGGCGTACGGTAGCGCACCGCCTTCGCCCAACCTGACGACCATGGTCCCCACGCAAGGCGCCAGGCGCAGCAGGCCGGCGAGACTCTGTGTGCGCCTCAGCTTTAAGCTGTCGACCTCCCGCCGGCACCACACGTCCCGGTCCAGGGCCAGGCCGCACAGCCGCTTGCACACGAGACGGCACGCGAACAGATCATCCACGCACAGGTACTGCATCACCGCCAGCAGGGCGTCGCCGGGAAGCTGCTCCAGAGTCAGCGGCTCAGCGGACATGGTGTGGGCGGCGGCAACACGGGCAACTGCACACTGGAAACAAGGCGCGCGTTAACTGGGGACTGCAAGGCCGAGGGCCAGACCTTGTCGAGATGGGTGATTTCGCTCAGATGTGCACATTTCCATTACAGATTCTGAATTTCGTTTTGTTCTTGATCTGAGCGGATCTTTTCACACTAAGTCTATCGCGGGTCAAAGAATCAAAGTCCTACACTGGCCAACCTTAATGATTAGCCATTACTTAACAAAATACGTTTGAACGCGAGGAAGATATCCGTCGACGGGAGTTACATAAAAAAGCTGGCAAATCGTCGACGGGAGTTATACAGGAATATATGGGAGTTACAAATGAACGTCGACGCCTCGTTGACGGGAGTTATCGAGCGGATCCCGTGGCGAGTCGACGGGAGTAACAGAGGTTATGTTCTCGGCTGCAGGCCAGTGGGCCGGCCGAGGCTGACCCATCATGACGACTTTTATTTTCGTCACAAGGAAAGGGGAGAGTGTGGGGATCATTATTCTGTAACAAACATTGAGATGCACCGTTTATAACGCCCGTGAGACGCACTAGAATAAAGTGACAAAGTAATGCGAGCAACTGCAAATGTCCGCGGCGCTTCTTAAATTCGGGTCAGCACTTTACCCCACTTTGATTACACGATACAAACAAACAAACAAACATGAAAATGTCCTGCATGTCTTGCTAGTCACACTTTCAGTGGTCGCCAGCAGAGAGAAGTCTCCGAGTGAAATGAAAATAAACAACCTACGGCAGGGTTATGGACACTGCGAATCGGCTGTTTCACGTCAGTTTTAATTGGTTTTATAATTGAAATAAGTGTATTAGCCTTACCTGATGAACAAAACTAGGTGAGACAATTAATAACAATGTTATATTAGTGAACAGGCACCTTCCAGAAGGCTAACTTTAAAAAGTATGGGGGCAGAACATGCAATGTGCACATCTCGGCGAAATCACCCGAAGTGTTCAACGAGAACACATATACTGGCGGCGGGCCTTACCTTTACCTCTGCCGTGAAGGTTAGATGAGCTGGGAGATGTCGTCCGTTAACCAAGTCCTGCCCGAGTAGGAGATGCTGTGCGACTGATGCTGATGAGATGGTGATGACGTCCAGCCAGGGTTGCCGCCAGGAGCCGAGCGAGTCAAGTCGCCCGAGACGAGCGCGAAGTGCGACCGAGTACCGACTACCGAGTGCGCCCGGCGCCGTTTGGCCAATGAAATCGACCGGGGTATTAAAAAATCGCCCGGTGGGCACCCGGGATTTTCCGGGAACTCTAGCTTGTGTAGAGTGGAGGTAGGTAGGTGGACCCTGGACTGGGACC